TAGTGATTGTCCAGCTTTGCTCGAACTTTTTTAATGTCTCAGTCAAAAGTTTATACAGTTTTGGGTGAGCCAGAAATGTGGTCAATAGCTGTGTCCGATACACTGCCCGTCGCAAGAAAATGTTTGTTGTTCAAATTCTCAGCCAAAAACAATCAACTCCATATTATGACTTCACACTCGCAGAGCTTCGAGCAGAGAAGCCAAAGAGAGACAACTCAGAATTTAAATAAAGATTGTGCTTAGAAATGTTGAATTGGTTGTTCCCCTTTTTAAAATTATTAAAAGTCAAACAAGCAAAGAATAGATTTCTTTTAAAAAAGGAGAAGAAAGGGAAAGATTAAAAGGGAAAACCCCATCATCTCAACCACTCCCCCTAAAAAAGTGTCTTGAAAAACACATTTCACAATTCACATCAAAGAAATATTTTACAAGGAAATAAATTGTTTGACATGATTTTATTGACAATGCTGAGGGTTACAAATTTGGAAAAGGGGGAGGTAGAATGAAGGGATGAATGACAAATTAATGTTACTAACTTGGTTTCAAAAGAAAAGGATGAAAGGGACAATGTATGAATCAATATTTCATATGATAATGATATAGACAGTTGAAAGCAAAAACGATCGAACTTACTTTTTAAATAACACAAACAAAAACAAACAAAAATGGAAAGTTAAAGCCATTGATCGAAACATTAAACGTTGAAGCAACGTGCAATCTATTCCGACATTTCATCTAAAATCTGAAGTGTGTGAACACTTTGCCTAATATAATAATGAGTCACCAACACTGAATTACACATTTAATTCCCTGTAGAAAATAAAAACAACTCTGTGTTGTGACCAGCTTTTTGAAAACCAGGCGTCTGTGGTGTAGTGGTTAGGAGCCTTGCTGTGGCCCACAGGAGACCCGAGTTCCATTCCTACATGGGGAGAAACTTTTTATCGAGTATCTTGGTCTTTCTGCTGGGATGTTGTATCCCTCTCAGAACAACAGCAAGAACAACAACAAAAACAACAACAACAACAACAACAACAACAACAACAGTATGAATAACAATGTACAAAAACGTTTGGTTGTTTTTTTAAATTCTGGAAGCGAGTGTGTTTTTCTACCTTGTAGTTTGGCTTCATGATCGCGATCTCTCTAAAAGCTGTTTTATGTCCATAAAGAACACATTTCCATGTGAAATTCACTGAAAACCCTTGACTAATAGCACAAAATACATGTATGTATTATTTTCAGTTTTCAAGGAATCTCAAGCTATAGAAGTTACCAAACTTTTCTCGCAAATACTACCTCAGAAAACAGTCTACTCCCATCTCCTTCAATCGAAAATACCTTCGACTTCTGTTCAAGATGGATGGGCATTATTTTACTGAAAGAAAGACAAATAAACAGGCTTTAAGGTTATACTAGTAACTCTATAAGCCCCCAAAAATTGACGAGCGTCTGATTCCAGCACGTCGTGATACATTTTTCCCCAGCAGATTCATGTTTGATTTGGCATGTACACAGAACAAAGAAAGTACTGAAGAATTAGCAAGAGGAAGTTTTGGTAAAAAATTCATTGGGTTTCATTTTATGGCACTCTCAGCTCGTGTTAACGCACACACTCTCACTAAAACACACACACACACACACACACACACACACACACACACACACACACACACACACACACACACACACACACACACATTCACACACAAACACGTATACATGGCCCAAACACAAACTTCAGTCCACACCTCTACGCCTCAAACCACATCATCAACACTTCTGAGAGGATCCCTACTCCCCTCTCCCTCTATCTCTATCCCTATCTCATCTGTCGCTCCCCTTCTCCTCTCTCTCTATCTCATCTATTGTTCCCCCTTCTCCTCTATCTCTATCTCATCTATCGCTCCCCCTTCTCCTATATCTCTATCTCTATCTCATCTATCACTACCCCCTCCTTCTATTTCTATCTCTATCTCATCTATCTCTCCCCTCGCTCCCTCCCCAGTTCCAGTCTGGGTCTCGAACCCCGACCCATCACGCTTATGCGCCGTCCCATCCTGAGAGTTCTTTTTCAGTATCAGCCTGACCGCGACAAGCCTGTCTGCTACCCGAGAGAGCAGCCCTCTTCGCGCCCGTTTGTGCTCCAACTTGGCTTCGCGGAGCAGGTCCGAGTCGGGCACGTTGATGACGTCACCAGTGGGGATCCGGACGCCAAGTTGGCGCGCTTTTTTCACCGTCTGGAAGTATCCCCTGCGCTCCACGCGAAGGTCAGGGTTGTTGATGAGTGTGTAGGTCACGTGCCAGTGGAAGACTGCAGCGTGCTGTTTCCTCGACTTTTCTGGTGAATAAAACAAAGCAAAAAATCAAATAAACCAACTACTACGAATAAGCTTACAAAAACTTACTCTCACAACCAGCTATGTAAAGCAAACAAAGAAGAACAGTGGAAAAACCACGACCAACCTAAGAAAATAGGAAGAACCAGACACCAAGAAGGCAATCGAGGATGACATTACCTAAGAGTACAATAAGCTGTCACCTGAGATCAAAGACGTAGAAGACGAATGGCAAACATTTTAAAAATCCCTGTTAGAAATACAAAAAAACAAACAACCAACAACAGTTGAAGCACCAAACGAATAGGCGGAAGTGCATACTGGTGGAATGACGAAACCAAAGAAGCAATTAAAAAGAAAAAGAAGTTATTCAAGAAATAGCAGAAGTCAAAGACGAAGAGGACTACTTAGAATACAGGAAAGCGGGAAGAAAGACCAAAAGAATGATTAAAACTGCTAAAGTAAATGCATGGAAAACATATGACGAGAAACTGACCAAAATATGCAAGGAAAACCGTAGAGAGTTTTATAAAAGTGTGAACAGCATGCGGGTAAGGAATTACCCATACAACCCGACATGCATTATAAACGATAAAGAGAGTAAAGCCATTCTCAGCAAGCATGCCATTAAGAAAAGATGGGCCAATTACCTCCAAGAACTACTCAACCCATATGCTTTCCACAGATAACAAGAAGAGTTCCAACAATCATATTGAGAGCATACAAAACCACCCATGCCTCTCAGGGAAATCGAAAAGGCACTCAAAACCTGCCCCAAAAACAAAGCCCCAGGACCAGATGACATCACGACGGAAGCCATAAGAGCTTGTGGAAACTCCAGTGTACTGTGGCTGAGGTGAATTTTCAACAGAGCCTGGGAGTAAAAGAAATGCCCAGAAGACTGGCAGAAAGCCATAGTGGTACCATTATGGAAAAAAGACAACAAACAAGACTGCACAACATACAAAAGCATCTCTTTATTAAGCCACGCATGGAAAATATACGAAAAGATACTAGAACAGCGGATACGACATATGGTAGAGAGAAATTCGAGCAAAGCTCAGTTTGGATTCCGAAAGGGAAGAGGATGCACGGATGCTGTATTCGCATTAAGACAGGTATGCCAGAAAGAAATCGAACACAACAAAGAATCCAATGTCGTCTGTATAGACCAGGAGAAAGCTTTTGACATAGTAAACCATGCAAAATTCTGGAAGACAATCGAACAGTATGGCGTCAAAGGACAAATGTTAGATAATGTCAGAGCTCTATATACAAACAGCAGAAGCTCAGTAAAAAACGAAGGAAGGCAATACAAACTGGTCAAAGTAAGATCTGGAGTACGACAGGGATGTGTTCTATATTTCCTCCTGTTTATAATATATGAACACAATAACGCAAGTCGCAAACCAAAGTCCAGAAAGCCTCAATGAACTTCTATTCGCAGACGACCAGTGTGTCTTATTCATCCAAACCAACACAGCTTCCAAAATCACTGAAGAAAATAACACATCAAAAACAGAAGTTATGAAAGTGAGCCGAAACCGTAGTCCCTTGAACATCCATGCCAATAGTAAACAACTGAAACAGGTGAATGAGTTTATATATTTTGGCAGTACTCTTTCTGAAAACGGGTCCATAGACCGAGAAAAGAAATGCGAACTCAAAAAGCCAACGATGTTACCTACCAGCTCACATCCCTTCTATCTCATCCAAACATCTCCATGGACCCATAGATACAAAAAGGGGGCTCTCCTGGCCTAGAGGTTAAGGTGTTGGCCTCTCAATCAAAGGTCCCGGGTTCGAATCCGGGTAGCGACCGAAAAAATTTTCATCTTTAAAATTGTCTCCTTTCCCCTCCTTTCCAGCTCTCTAGCAATGTTCTGTTGTCTGCTTTCAATTCCACTTTCTGCCCCCACCCCCTCACCTCCTTTGCTCCCTCCTCTGGGCTCCTGACTCTTTCTGCAGCCTTTCTCCTGCTACTCCTTGGCTCCTCCTTACTGCTGTCTGTCTGCCACACCCCTGATCTTCTGGTAGGAAAGATCTACACCTAGCCTTCTCGGACAAGGGTGAAAAATCTCGGAGGGCCCGTGTGCAAGTTGCGCACGTTAAAGATCCCTTGGTGGTCTAAAATCGATAAGAGTAGGCTTCGGCCGCCACCCGGGCAAAATTCAAAATTTCCTACCAACTGAAAATATTATGTGTGTCCCGCGCGCTCATATGACCTATGCAGTTGCGAGCGCCGTAAAACACTTTACAAAAACAAACAAAAACAAACAAGATACAAAGAGAAAGCCTATCACCACAATATTCATACCAGCAATATGATACCAGTGCCAGACCTGGACATTAAGTAAACCCATGAAAACAAAATCACTTCATGCGAAAGGAAATGTCTCCGCAAAACCCTTAACATAACAAGACGAGACAAGAAGAGAAATGAAGAAGTAAGACCAACTATCGGCATTGAGTCTTGCCTGCATTACATAGAAAGACAGAGATTACAATATTGTTTGGCCACCTGTTACGTATGGTTGGTTAGACTAAAGTTGCATCTAACGGTAAAAAAGAAAGAAAGAGAAAAGAGAACCTGGCTCTATCACATTTTAAAATATCTCGTGCACGCTGGTAATCGAGTTCACAGGAACTGAATCAGGGACAGCTAGATTCTTCCTACATGAAGGGACAAAAGCTTCTCTTCTGGCACAATTCGACGGAATTCGAGTCACGTTCTTAAAAAACAAATTCCTCAGTTAGATGAATTCGATTGTCAGTGCGCGCTGACTGTTAGAATTGTTTCATCAGCCATACAGGCTCACTTTTCATGGAATTACCCATCTGCATAATAAATATTAAATTATGATTATGATGATTAATTCTATCATTATTATTTTAATTACCTTCAATTATTGTTATTAGCATAATTGTTTTATTATTATTATTATTATTATTATTATTATTATTATTATTATTATTATTGTTGTTGTTATTGTTGTTGTTGTTATCACCATCGTCGTCATCAATCATTACTATTATTACTATTATTATTATTATTATTATTATTATTATTATTATTATTATTATTATTATTATTATTATTATTATCTTAAGGAAGAAGCTGGGTACCAGAAACAAAAACGTCTCAAACCTCTGTCTCTGAGCTCTGGGAGGGACCTATGACCTCTGGCCTTGCTGACCTCCCCTGACCTCCTCTCGAGGTTTTTCCTTTCCCGAGACAACAAGATGAGCAGCCGGATAAAGGAGACCATGACCGGGTGAGTCTGGGAACATTCCACCTGCATGAAGCCGATGTAAGCTTTGTAGCCTGCAGCCGGGGAGGAGAGGAAAGAAGCCATTAACAATTTTCACACTTACATTATAATGGGGGTTAACCGTTGAACAAGGCAAGTCGAGGATAGTCATGTCAAGTCAAATTAAGTCAAGTCACATCAAGGTAAGAAAAATCAAATATAAGTCAAATCAAGTACGGCCAAGTCAAGTAGAGTCAAGTAGGCCTACATTGTATAAGTCAAGTCAAGTACAGCCAAGTCAAGAAGAGTCAGGTATAAGTGAAGCCAAGTCAAGAAAAGTCAAGTATAAGTCAAGTACAGCCAAGCTCAGTACAGCCAAGTCAAGTAGAGTCAAGGCAAAGTTAAGTCAAGTACAGCCCAGTCAAGACGAGTAAAGTCAAGTACAGCCAAGTATAAGACAAGACAAGTACAGCCAAGTCAAGTATAAGTCAAGTTAAGACAGAAGTTCCTAAACAAAACATAAGCCTTCTCACCGCGGTCCCAGTGAACGAAGGCCAAGGGCAGCGTGCTGTGGTCAAGGCGAGGAACTGTGAGGACGCCGATGACCATTCCTTTGAGGAGTCGGAGGACCGTGGAGAACAGGCCCAGGAAGATGTTGAAGAAGAACACGAAGTAGCTGAAGAGAAATAGAGCTCTCCTGGGGACAGAGAGATAGTTGTTGTTGTTGGTGGGGGTGGTGGTGGTGGTGGTGGTGGTGGTGGTGGTAATAGTATTAGTGTTGCTGTGGTGGTATTGTTGTTGCTAATGTCAGTTTTACGGAAAAGAAAGTGAGACTCTGCTAAACCTCTTTTACGGACATTGCATTGGCTTCCAGTTGAGAAATCAATCGTGTACAAGTTGGTCACCCTATGTCACAAATGTTTGAATGATAATGCACCATCATATTTATCAAATCTGTTAAGACTGTACATTCCAACTCGCAGTCTAAGGTCATCAGCTGACAAAAAGAAAATTATTTTACCGTCTATGAAACTTAAAACAATGGGTGAAAGGGTATTTGAATACCAAGGCCCCAAGATCTGGAATGCTTTACCAAGTACTTTGAGAGAGATCAAATCTTTTGATTCATTCAAATGTCAGCTGAAGTCGTTTCTGTTTTTAAATTAATAAGATGAATATTTGGAGTAATTTTGTTTAAGTCAAAACACGTTTTATGTTATTGTTGTATTTTTCATTGTATTGTAAATAGCTTAGAGTCTGTGTACTTAAATCGGGGTTGAGCGCTATATAAATGTCATGTATTATTATTATTAATGAAGTAGCTGGAGAGGAACAGAGCTCTCCTAGGACAGAGAGATAGTTATTGTTGTTGTTGGTGGTGTTGCTGTGGTGGTATTGTTGTTTCTAATGAAGTAGGTGAAGAGGAACAGAGCTCCCCTGGGGGACAGAAAGACAATGTGCTACCTTAGAATGATAAAGTTCTATCTGACAATTTGGCTGTCGTTTTGAGTCACTAAGATTTTACTAAGAAAAAGATGTCACAAACCAAATTAGTGTTCTGTCAGCTCAGTCAAAATCGTAAGACAATTCGGAGTCGTTATCAAAATATTCAAAGAATTGCATTTGAAAAACCGTGACATGTTGTGAAAAGCATTTCTCTACAATCTGCACGAGGCAGATAGAACTTTGTAATTCTAGGGTAGAGACTGCTGTCAGAATCAGGCGCCTGTCAACTTCGTGCGGAGTCATTGTTATCATCTCAAAGCTTGTTCACTTGTCTTGCTTTTGATTTTAAAACTACCTATATAACTTGAATAAAATTCGAGATATTTGCCATAGAATGAAATTTGGGTTGCTTGCTATCAGAGGTAAAATTAGCGAGAAAATGGTCGCCAAAGTTTGGTGACTTCCAAAGTTGGAGTTCCAGTACACTGCATATTAGTATTACGTACATTTTTTATACCTTTGATCAACGGCGTCTCACAATGGGTTAATCACGATCACGATCACGACACAATCACGACACAATAACGACACGATCACGAATGTCCTAACCCTTCCCGCGGTTGGGAGGGAGAGAGGGCGGGGGCGCTGCGCCGATGGACGTTTATAAATATAAGACCATAATATGCACTACCACCTTACCTATTACAATGATAATAATATGTTAAGTCTATAGGAATGTAGCTGACACGGCATATTCCTTATCAGTAACAGCTCAAAGGCAACGTTTCGGCACATTTCAATTAATTAGACAATGATTTTTAAAAAAACCCACGAGCTTGCATATTTTATAGTATTCATATTGTTGCATGCTTCCTCGAGTTTCAGCTGAAGAAAACCAAACGGAAAAGTCTGTCTGAATAATGAAGTTACGCTCAAACAGAGAGCAAGGGATGTAAAACCCAAGTAGCCCCCTTATCTTTTGTCAAAGACTAAGTAGTCTCCCCTTACCTTTTGTCAAAGACTAAGTAGTCTCCCCTTACCTTTTGTCAAAGACCAAGTAGTCTCCCCTTACCTATTATCAAAGGCCAAGAAGTCTCCCCTGTCTTGCAGAAAGAAAAATTTCGACAGGAAAAACTGCAGAACGTAGATGATCAGTGTCCATAGTGGGATGGGCCTGTGAGGAAAGACAGAGAAATCTTAGTCATCATTGTTTCGACGTGTTTGTTTGTCTGTCTGCCTGTCTGTCTGCCTGTCTGTCTGTCTGTCTGTCTGTCTGTCTGTCTGTCTGTCTGTCTGTCTGTCTGTCTGTCTGCCTGCCTCGTCTATCTGTATGTCTGTCAATCTATTTCTCTCCCCCATCATCATCATCAACGTCATCATCATCTTCATCATCTAAAACAACAACAACAACAAAAACAACAAAAACAACAACAACAACAACAACAACAACAACAACAACAACAACAACAACAACAACAACAACCGAAGCTTAACAAACAAGATGGTATGACTTTTTCAAATATCCAGGAATTAAAACAGTCAGGAACACGACACATTGGGACGTTTAAGAGGAGCATAGAAGACCCGTTGACGCGATCATTACTCACTCACCGATCGCAAAAAGACCCTCCCGATATCCTACACGCAGACGAAGGAAATATTATACAGGGCAATTTTTCATAAAACGAGAGGCTAAAATTAAGTCCCGCAGCGACCAGTCACTACTGGCAAAAATCAGGACCGGTCACTTCTCTGGGCCGCGAGCCTACAAAAATAGAATAGACAAAACATCGGACCCAATCTGTCCATTGTGCAGCGAGGAGCCCAACAATTTGGAGCACTATCTGCTGAGATGCCCCGCCACGGAGGTCCGGCGGTGGCATCTCTTTGGGGAGGATTCAGGGAGGTTGGACTGCCTCACCCGCTACCCAAAAGAGGCAGTGGCCCTGGCGAAGAGCACGCTCTTCGGGGCTCCAAACATTTCGAACAGATAGGCTACCTCACACACACGCACACACACACATACACACACATACACACACACGTACACACACATACACACATATACACACATACACACAGACATACACACACACATACACACACACACACACACACACACACACACTCACAACAAAAATAACAGCCTGGAAGCACCATCAACAACAACACACTGACCACAGCTGCAGGAAGAGGTCCACGATCCAGTCACTATAACCGCCAATGGCCAGCGAGATCAGCCCAAAGACCGCCACAAAGAACAAGGACTGGACAAAGAAGCCCCAGGCAATGGACGCCACCTGGAAGCCTGAGTACTTCAGGCAGCTCACCTACAAACGAAAGACAGAGACACACTTGCTCGGGTGTTGGCTTTCTGATATTATAGATCGCGACCTCGGTGCTTTCTTGTCCTATCTCCATTTTCAATAACAGTGAAAACAGTTAGAGTGAGCTTAAGAAGAAGTCACATTTTAAATGTTTTTAAAAAAATGGAGACAGGGCAAGAAAGCACTGAGGTCGCGAGATGTCTTCGTCAAGTGTTGGATCTGTAACAGACAAGGGATATCATAGTTCATCTCTCAGTTCTCTGACCAAATGCACTCAAAGCAAATCCTCTTATTATTATAACTATTACAAAGATAAGTCAACAATTAATAAACTCTAAATGGAAATGTAAATAAATAAATCTACTAATAAATAAATAAATGGAAGTAAAATAAATAAGGTACATCATTGATAGATAGATGGGTATATAAATAGAAATAGAGAGAGGGGGGGGGGAGAGAAAGAGATAGAAAGAGAGAGAAATAGAGAGAGGGGTGAGGGAGAGAAAGAGATAGAAAGAGAGAGAGAGAGAGAGAGAGAGAGAGAGAGAGAGAGAGGGAGAGAGTAGGAGGGAGAGGGGGACATAGAAGAAAGGATGGAGGTATAGTTTGAGAGAGAGAGAGAGAGAGAGAGAGAGAGAGAGAGAGAGAGAGAGAGAGAGAGAGAGAGATACTTACCAGAAGAGCCGTATTACTCATGCCTTGTGTGAATGCTTTCATCTCTCCCCGGTACAACCTGTACATGGTAGTCCTGGGGTACATGAAACAAAAGGGTCAAAGGTCAAAAGATTACAGTTGGTGCAACATTTACATAGTACTTCAGGTGAAAGTTTAACTTCTTAAGATCGAAAATCTAGCCTTGTCTGATAACGTCAAAAACAATATCAGAGGTCCATGTGCATGTTGGGCACATTCAAGATCCCTTTTTGGTCCTAAAAATCTACAACAAGTAAAGATCTAAACTTGTATATCTACGAAAACATAAAATACTCCAGTCAGTATAAACTGAGTACATTCGGAATAACAACGCAGCTGCCTTAAAATTGAAAACAGGGAATTCCACAAAGTACTAAAAACGGTCATGTATGCCCCCCCCCCCCAAAAAAAAAAGGCCTCAACAACCAAAGACATCAACAGGCAAAAACAAACAACCAAACAAAACGATGGCACACGAAAACAAACCCCCAGTAATACACGGGTTGGAAAACTAGCCAGCCGATAACAAAAATCAGTGTAGACAGATTTTTGCCAACCCTTTAGATCTAGCAAGAGAATGCAAAGAAGAAGATGAGGGTCAACTACATAATAACATCATATCTGAAAAATGTCCCTCAACTGCATGAAAGCTGCCCTGAACGCAACGTTCCTTGTGGTTTAAGGGAGAAATAGAAGGAAGAACTATTGTTGTGATTTTTAGCCCCACAAAGAGACGCCAAGAAAAGATATATTATTATATCCCATCATTCTTTGTATTCCTCAGGATCTCGCAACATCAGATGCCAGAATAGTGCTCAGAATAGTGTACTGCGGAGTGGGTAAAAATCTGTCTACACGTATTAGCTGGCGAAGAAGAAGAAGAAGATGAAAAAGAATAAGATGGAAGAGAAAGGGAGGAGAAGGAGGAGAAAGAAGAGGAAAGGAGAGACAAGAAGATGAGGGGGTGGAGATAATCCTGGAATATAATAAGTTGAATACACGACTGGTTTGCGCTGGTGCTCCAGGACATTTGTATGCTCTCACCTGTAGCCCGTGAACATCCTCAGAATCCCGTATGCTCCAAGGACAAAAGATAGACACTCGGAACCAATTATTGCACCTGTAAACAGTTCATCGTCATCATCATCATCATCATCATCATCATCATCATCATCATCATCATCATCATCATCATCATCAACACCACCATCATCATCATAAAGCAGTACAGCTATATCTCGGCTCTCATCAAAGAGAGAAAAGTGTATCAGATTTTAATGATAGATGAGCCGTTTGTTTCAAAGATTCACGAGAGATGTACGAGAGATGTCGATGAATATGGTCAATACCAAACTGACAAAATTATTTAAGGCTGTGGATCCAACAA